GGGGCGTGAAAGAGGCGGGGGTGGAGGGGCTTGGCCGAGGGGCTTGGCCGAGGAGCAGAAACAAAGACAGCAGACACAAGGGAGGGGTGGGGGGATGGGGTGGCAGGACAGCAGAGTAGCAGCAACGGCATGCCTCGTCGACGCCGAGCAGTGACGCGACGTCCTCGAAGGGCGCGGACGGGCGCGAGGCGCGCAGCGCGTCCTCGCTGTGCCTGGGAGTGCAACAGAAAGTCTGGGAGGTGTCTCGGAAATGTCTAGGGAGTGTTCTGCCCGTCTCTCGGACGTGTGCAGGAAGTGTCTCGGACGTGTCTCGGAAGTGTCACCGCAGGAAGGCGGCGTACGAGAGGTCGGCGAGGCGGCCGGGCTCGCGGGAGGAGGATCCCGGAGAGGCAGACGCACCCCCCACTCCAAAACCTGCGCCGGCCTCCGCCGCCACGACAGCCGGCGGCGGCGGCGGCGGCGCCTGTGGTGGCGGCGACTCGGCCGCTCCCTCTAACTGCTTGTCGGGCCCGTGTCTCGGCTGGCCTAGAGGGAGGTAGAGGAGAGGAGGTCCCAGGGGAGCCCGCCCCCGCGTTCCGCCACTGTCCTCTTGCCGCCGCCGTCGGCGGGTGCGGGCGTGGCGAGGCCGTGGTGCGCCTACAGAGAGGGCGCCGGCAAAAGGCTGGAGAGGAGAGCTCGGCGGGCGGCGTGGGGAGGGCCGTGGTGCACCGCGTCGAGGAGCATGAGGAAGCCGTCGTACGACTCGTACTGCCGGCACCAGCTCGCGAGCAGCTGCATGAAGTACCGCTCCAGGTCCGAGCAGATCTCTGCGACGTAGCTGGGATGGCGGTTGGCAAACCAGCGCGTCCGTGGCAGGCCGGGCAGCTGCAGCCCCGGATGCAGCTCGGCGAGCTCGGCGTGCAGCTTTGCGATCCGCGAGAAGCGGAGCTCGTACCAGGTGCGCTCGCTCGGAAAGGTGCCCAGGTCCGAGTGCACGCGGACGAGGTAGGCAATGTGCGGGTGCGCCTCGCCCGGCGCGTGGCGGCGGTCGGACCGGGGCACCTTGACGTAGCAAAACGTGGCGCGGCGGCCGCCGCCTCCGGGCCCGGCGCGGCGGCTTGAAATCATATGGAGGCGCGAGAGAGATGGATCAGTATGGGGCCGGCCCGGGAGGGGCTGTGGCGTCGGAGCGGCTGCGAGAGGGGCCGCCACACAGGGTACCCTCTCGAGGTTCTCGAGGTTCTCGAGGTGGATATCCTTTGGCCGCGTTGGGTAGCGAGGATTGGTGTAACCCGAGCCACGGAGGCGTGTTTTCTGACGGCCGACCGTCAGTGCACGGAGTTGCCCCTTCTCCGACTGCCCCGGCTAGTTCCCGAGTTTCGCGGGTGTGACCCCATGCGTCAAACCCGAGACCTAGCGCGGGTGGGTTGGAGGGGCCTCGGAAAGGCGCGCAAGCACGCCCTACGTCTTCCCCTCCTCCCCATCGGGCCGCATGAGCGGCCACGCCTCGCAGATTCGTTTCCGCGCCTGGGTCAGGCGCGCGGGGCATCCCCCGGGTCGCTCGACCAGCGATCCGAAGAGTGGCCGCTATGCGAAGGAAAGAGTGGGGCCCTCGACGCCTCAGTCCGGCCCTCCGAGGGGGGAAGGGAATTGCGGGGTCCCCTCGGGCGCCTCAGTTCGGCCCTCCCGAGGGGGGGAGGGGAGCAAGGGGGTGGGGGGGTCGGGGTGGTGGGGAGGGGTCTCGGATTTCATGTGGCTAAGACTTGCCTTTCGGGTACCCCGGTGAGTGTGTTTTGTTTTAGGTGTGTTGTTGGCAAATCATCTTGTCTTGTGGTTCTGTGTGTCGCTCCTGTGTGACCGTCACCGCCCGTCTAGCGTCCACCCATACCGCGTTGGTGTCCCAGTCGTTGGTCGGACTGTGTTTCGCCTTCCCATCAATCAATCAACCCCGGTGAGGGCTAACCTCGAAATCTGCACCTTGGATGGCTGCGCTCCCTGTTTCGCAGCCATCCGTGCTAAGGATGGCTGGCACGCCTAGATCTCAGCCATGGACGGTGAAGGGGCCGGTCGTCTCCTCGATCTCGCTCCTCTGCCGGCAGATGGGGCCGGTCAACACCTTCAACCCGGTGCTGCCCACGGTCCGGATGTGCTGCAGCACCTTCAGCCTCTCGAGCGAGGGGCGCTTCACCTTTAGCCCGAAGGTGCCGACGGCAGCGAGGATTCGGTTCGGCGTCACGGTGGGGCGAGCCCGAGGGTGGGCGCGGCAGCGCTGGCGGCGGAAGCCGCGCGGCGGCGGCGGAGAGGAGGCCGCAGCCGCTGTGTGGAGGCAGGACGTAAAGGATGTGAGATCATGTGAGGCTGCGTTGGTTCTTGCAGTGGCACTTGTTTGACTCTTCTGCCGAAGTTCGATGGAGTAGGAGAGGCTCCTGGTTATAGAGGCGAGCACACACGCACCGGGGGGCGAGAGAGCGGGGCTGTTGCGGATGGAGGTCGCGTTGTTTCGACTGTGTGCTGCGGTCTGACTGTGTGTGTTTTCCTGTGAAGATCGTACGGCTCTCTCTCTAGTGTCTCTAGACATGAGAGCTACACATGTGTACGGCTTTACAGAGCTCTGCGCGTATGTCGTTAAAAAGAACACACACACACACGCGCGCACAGTCCGCGCGGCCTGTGTGTGGAGATGCATCTGCGCTGCACCCGCGGCGCGCGCATCGTTCACGTAGTATCGTCACCCTCGGGACGGCAGACACAACAGTCACAGTCAAAGGGGTGGACTCGCATGATCTTTGGCGCCCCTCCGGGGATGGTGGGCGCCCCACTCCCCTTCGAGATTTGTCGGTACACAAATGTGACAATTGTGTCCACCGGAAATCGCAGCTGCAGGTCCTCGAGGAGCGTCCGCTGCTTCAGAGCCTCGGGCGACGGCCGCTCGACGCTCAGCTCAAACTCGATGGACGGGCTGGCGTTCGGCGCGTTGAGCGCGCGCACCAGCACGGTCGGCAAGTTGCCGGTGGTGTGCGCGTTTTTGTGGCCCACGATCACAGCCTCAGCGTCGAGCCACTGCTTTACCTTGAGCACGTTGCGGCCTGCCAAGGCGGGAGGCTGCGCGGGTATGCGAGGAGAAGAGGACGGCGAGAGAAGGAGTGGGAGAGAGGAGAAGAGGGCGAGAGGAAGAGAGAAGAGGGGGGGGAGAGACGGCAAGAGGGGATTCGGTGCTGCGCGCCATGGCGGCCCGCACGCCACCAGGCCTCGTCGCGCCGCAGCACGAGCCCCTCGCCGCGTTTGGCAATCACGCGCTGCAGCAGCGCGTCCTTGGCCGTCGCGTCCGCCACTCGCACTGCCGGCGCAACGATGATGCGCCCGTCCGGCGGCCCAACGGCGGCGAGCGCGCGGCGTGCCGCCTCCAGCCGCTGCATGTAGGGCCCGGCCACTTGCGGTGCGTCAAAGACGACGTACGTTAGGCTGTGCCAGGCCATCTCGTGCAAACGCCTCCCCAACCCCTTGGTGCCCTGCAGAGACCCGACCGCGGAGAACCGGCACCGGCCCGCCCACAGCTCGCCGTCGAGGTGCTCCTCCGGCAGCAGCGCTTTGAAGGAGTCCGGGGGCTGAAAATGGCCCTGGCCGTTGCGACCGGTGAAGCCACGCTCGTGACCTTCCCATCGCATGCGCACACCGTCGAACTTCTCGGTGGCTATCCACACTTCCTCTGCGAGCCGCTCGTCGTCCTCCTCCTTCTCGTAGGTCTCTGCCAGCAGGCAGCGGTGCTTTGACGCATTAATCTCGCGTGGGCCCCAACTCTGCTGGTGCTGGTGCGTCCGCGCTGCCTTGCCCTTCTTGGCCTTGGCCCTCGCCTCCTCCTTTGCGCGCTTGAGCTCCGGCGGTGGCGACGGCGGGTCGCGGACAAAGAAGGCGTCGGACGCGGGCGGTTCGCTGAGCGCACTCGGCCCTGCGAGGCCCTGCGCCGCCGCCGGCCCTCCGCCGCCGCCTCCGACCCATTGGCAAAGGTTGCAACTCGGGCGCGTCGGACTCGCCCCACCTGGCTCGGGTCCCACAGACGCCTCGGGCGAGGCGGGCTCGCGCGCCGCAGCCACCTACGGACGTGCCGTGGACGCGTCACGACATAGTCGAGAACTGAAGCAGACACCCTTTCGGGCAACCGTCACCGCGCTGGGGTGCAAGTTCTTGCGCAGCACGTCGGTCCGCGACCCGTCGGCGGAGAGGACCTTGGAGCACTGCCCGACCCACTCCTTCGTCACGAGGCGCGGCCACTCGGCCTCCGGCAGCGCGGCCAGGCACGCCAGCTCGGAGGGGCGGCGGTCCGACTCGAGCGCCAAGTGCGTCGCCTCGCGCACGTCGCTTACGACCTCTCCGCCGCCGCGCCGCACCACCTCCTCCTGCAGCTCGCGCAGCTTGTCGCCGAGCCGCGCCGCCAGCAGCAGCCGCACGCCGCGGAAGATGGTCTCTTTCGCGCGCCGCTCCTCCGAGCCCCACTCTGGCTCCGGCTCTGCCGCCGCCTCCGCCTCTGCCGCCTCCACCTCCGCCTCCTCCATCGCCGCCGCGTCCGCCGCCGCCGCCTCTGCCGCCTCCGCCTTCGCCGTCGCCGTCGCGTCCGCCGCCGCCGCCGCCGCCGCCTCTGCCTCCGCTTCCTCCGAGTTCTCCGCCGCTGCCGTCGCCGCCACCGTCGCCGCCACCGCCCACGACTGCGCCGCCGCAGCGGGCTTCTCCGTCTCAGCCGCCGCCGCGTCGCCGCCGCCTCTGGACCAGAGCACAAGCGCTCCGCCTCGCTGCGGCTCTGCGGAAGGCGCAGCGGAGGCTCCGGCAGGAGCGGCAACGCAGTCGCCCGCTCGCTCAAGGCGCAGCGACCAGCCGCACCAGCCGTTGAGCTTCCTCTCCTCGCGGCCGCGCGTGCACTGGCAGCGTTCGGCACGCTCACGAAGAGGAGCGGCGCGTCGGGCGCCTCGCCTGTGAGGCTGTACGGCGCGTTGCCTGCGCACGGCTCGACGAGCGTCCGCCGGTCGTGCTCGAGGCGTTTGCCGTTTAGCCATGTCGAATTCAGCGCGGAGAGGTGCGTCGCGTACACGCTGCCGTCGCCCTCTCGCTCGAGCCGGATGTGGTGCCTCGAAAGATGCGGGTTGGATGGCGCTCGCACGTCGCCTCCTTTGCCAATGACGACTGTCGGGCGGGAGAGCGGCACGGGACGGCGGCCGTGCATGGAGTTGTGCGGGACGAGCGAGCCCCAGTGCTCGGGCTGGCGGTCGCGCTTTGGCATCTGGCGCTCGGGCTCTGCGGACTGCTAGCTCGGAAGAGTGCAACAGTGGAGCGGCGGCGGCAGCTGGGCGGTGGCAGGCGGCCGGGGCGGCGAGTCGCCCATGCAGGGCGGTCTACGCGAAGCCTGCCTTTACACGCGAGCTCAAGCTCCAACGCTGGCGCAAGCCGGGCGCAGAGCGTGCAGGCGCTCACACAGGACTGCTCACATACAGTTGCAACAATCCCCCCCCCGCTGATAGCTGCCACTTCCTTTACCGGAACGGGTGCTACGGTGGCACTCGCATGTTTCGGGCGGTTTTATTTGGTCGGGTCAAATGTCTGCCAATTGGCAGTCCTCCATCCTGCGAGCCCTCATGTCTCTTGACGTCCACGACCTCTCATCTTCCGCGGTGATGAGATCGACGATCTCGTCTTCAGACAGCCGACGAATCTGGTCACAATTGCAACCGCAGTCCTTGTCGCAGCAGTAGCAATGTGATGGAAGCGTGGTGCATGGGAGTTGGCCGTTGCACCCGTGGCTGTGGACGGAGCAATCGTTGCCGTGACCTCGACCTGGGCTGCCGCGGCATAAGTGCCAACCATACATGCATGACATGTCGTCGCATGTACGTTCCGGAGGCGGCTGCGGACTCGGCGGTGGAGGTCGTGGAGGCGGCGGCTTCGGCGGCGGCGGCGGCGGCGGCTTCGGCGGCGGCGGCGTTGGGTACGCCTTGCAACTGGCAGTGAACTTCTGACACCCCTCTGCCTGTGATGACGACCATACCATCTTTAGTTCGCACGGATCCTGGTTGAGGCCCCACATGCCGTCCGGTGGTGGCGGGGCGCCAGAGCTCGCCATGTTGCAAGCATGGCCATCATCACGGCTCACGTAGCACCAATAGTAGTCGGTTTCGCTCCACTTGGCAAGGTGCGGGTGCGATTCCGGGCATTCCCAATCCTGTCTGAGGCAGCTCGAATCGGTCTGCCCGCTGTACAGGAAGAACTCCCCGGACTGCCCGCCGGCTGACACTGCCCTCATGAGGTTCTTTGGCTGGTCGTAGTTGACTGCGCTCCAGTAGACAAGGGTAGCCCCACTGCCGGCCGTATACCCTGTCGTGTGGACGTACAGGCGCTGCTCGACGGCGTCGGGATGCCGTAGGTAGAAGAGATGGCTTTCGTCGGCGGCGTTGTCGCGGCCACGGAAGTCAGCCGTGCCCCCATGGGCAAAGTTGAGGTGCGGGTCCTTGTTGCCGCTCGCGCACTGCCCCCAGACGAGTTGCAAGAAGAGGAGTGGAACCAGCAGCGCGAGCAGCGCCACGACTCGCTCAGTCATTCTGCAGGGTGCATTCCCTCCCGCCGCGCACTGCGCCGCACTCACCCCGTCCTCGGCGCGATCCGTCGGCGTAATCCGCCGCCGGGCTCTCCTCTGCCCCCTGGGTTGCCTCCCAAGCAGCAGCATCAAGCGCGGGCTGCGTGGCGTCGTCCTCGTCAGGTGCGTGTGTTTGCCTTGCGTTCGTTTCAGAGAGAGAGAATTCTTGATACGAAACCACGACGACACACACCAGTCGACTCGCATCGGTTGCCTCCATGAACGGCGGAGCTATTCTCGCGTCCACACCACACCTGGCTCCAACGTGGACACGCCCATAGCTGGGGACACTACTAGGTCACGCATGGCATCAGAAGTTTTATCTCTGGGCCCCGAAAGGCATCTCTAGCAGCGTCGTTACGCATGCGCCCTCCCCTCCTGGCGCATACGCCTCACGTCTCGACAGAGCATAAGCCCTTGGCGTGTGACGAGACGAGTTCTTCGCCATCGCAGCGAGCAGCAAGCCACTCTCCGCAGCAGCCGGAGGCATCGCCGCAGCACTGTCTGCGCCGCGGTCCCGCACCCGTCGACGAAGCTCCCCCCGCGGAAGACCGCGCGTAGCGACGCCTTGACGATCGAGATGAGCGCGCTTGAAGCTCGCCCACCTACTGCCCCTGAGAGTTGGTTACCGAGTGGGATCAGCTCCCCCCCTTGGGATCTCTCTCTCTCTCTCTCTCTCTCTCTCTCTCGTTCGTTTCAGCGCTGGGTGGACAAGCCGCACTTACTTTTTCCGTGCAGAAACTCCACAGGCTAACGTCGCTCGACCGCATCAACGCGCGTGCTGAACGGCCGGCCTCGACGACACCATCTTCCCGCGACGCCGACTCGTCTCTCTTCCTCCTTCTCTCAAGAAGCTGTTTGCGCGGGTGCAACTCGGCTGCACCTTGGCTTCACTCGGCCGCACCTTGGCCGCACTTCGGCTCCACCTCGGCCGCCTCTCGGCTACACCTCGGCCGCACCTCGGCTGCACCTCGGCTGTCTCGGCTGCACCTCGGCTACACCTCGGCTGCACCTCGGCTGCACCTCGGCTACACCTCGGCTGCACCTCGACTGCCTCTCGGCCGCACCTCGGCTGCACCTCGGCTCACCTCGCCTACACCTCGGCTGCACCTCGGCTGCACCTCGACTGCCTCTCGGCCGCACCTCGGCTGCACATCGGCCGCACCTCGGCTGCACCTCGACTGCCTCTCGGCTGCACCTCGGCTGCCTCTCGGCTGCACCTCGGCCGCACTCACCTCGGCCGCACGCACCTCGGCCGCACCTCGGCCGTACCTCGGCCGTACCTCGGCTGCACCTCGACTGCACCTCGGCTGCACCTCGGCTGCCTCTCGGCTGCACCTCGGCCGCACTCACCTCGGCCGCACGCACCTCGGCCGCACCTCGGCCGTACCTCGGCCGTACCTCGGCTGCACCTCGACTGCCTCTCGGCTGCACCTCGGCTGCACCTCGGCCGCACCTCGGCTGCACTTCGGCTGCACCTCTGCTGCACCTCAGCCGCACCTCGGCCGCACCTCGGCCGCACGCACCTCGGCTGCACCTCCGCTGCACCTCGGCCGCACCTCGGGTGCACCTCGGCCGCACCTCGGTTGCACCTCGACTGCCTCTCGGCTGCACCTCGGCTGCCTCTCGGCTGCACCTCGGCCGCACTCACCTCGGCCGCACGCACCTCGGCCGCACCTCGGCCGCACCTCGGCCGTACCTCGGCTGCACCTCGACTGCACCTCGGCTGCACCTCGGCCGCACCTCGGCAGCTCGGCTGCACCTGGGCTGCACCTCGGCCCGCCCCGGCCGCACCTCGTCTGCACCTCGGCCGCACCTCGGCCGCACCTCGTCTGCACCTCGGCTGCACCTCGGCCGCACCTCGGCTGCACTTCGGCTGCACCTCTGCTGCACCTCAGCCGCACCTCGGCCGCACCTCGGCCGCACGCACCTCGGCTGCACCTCGGCTGCACCTCGGCCGCACCTCGGGTGCACCTCGGCCGCACCTCGGCTGCACCTCGACTGCCTCTCGGCTGCACCTCGGCTGCCTCTCGGCTGCACCTCGGCCGCACTCACCTCGGCCGCACGCACCTCGGCCGCACCTCGGCCGCACTTCGGCCGTACCTCGGCTGCACCTCGGCTGCACCTCGGCTGCACCTCGGCCGCACCTCGGCTGCACCTCGGCCGCACCTCTCGGCTGCACCTCGGTCGGCTACACTTTGTCGCGGCGATCCACCGGTGCGCCGCCGCACTGCGCGCCTCCCCGTCCTACAGCGCGACGCGACCGCAGCCGCGTGCGTGGTCTCACTCACCTCTCCCGCCCGCGCATCCGCCTCTCAGACCCGCGCCTCCTCTCTCCCAGGCACCATCACCGGCACGGCCGCCGCCGCCCGCGCGGCACCCGCGGCACCTCCCGCCCCCCCTGGCGCTGCTGGCCGCTACCCCGCCGCCGTCGCTACCCTCCCCACCGCTGGCGCACCGCCTCCGCCGCCCCCCTCGCCGCTTGGGATAGGGCTAGCTAGACCGGCCCTGGTGTGCCCTAGTGTGTTCCCTTACACCTTTGGCCCGGGATAAGTAGCGCGGTGCGCGTCCCTGGGGCGTAGGGGCTAAAAAAACAATTGATCAAGTTTTCAGCCACTTATAGAGCACACAGTGTGTGCTGTGTGGGTTGACACGTGTCCGAGCGGTGCGAGGACACTTGCACAGCACAAGGTTTCAAGCTGGAGGGCGTGTACCCGCCTTCCGGACGCTTCTCCAAATGCGAGAAGGCAACAATCCCTGTGCTGTGACGTTGCCTGACCAGTCCTCTCAAATGGTCATCATGTGCAGGGAGATGCGGTTGCGGAGCTCTTTGTAGGTGCCGTTCGTGGGGACGCCGAGCTGCGCGCACACCTTCTTCAGGATCGAGATCGTCGATGCCTGCTTCTTTGAATGGACCGATCGTGCCACCTTGAGGACGTCCATGCGCAAGTAGAGCTTGCACACAAGCCCGTTTTCGAGGCGCTTGCGTTTGAACTCGAGCATGCCGCGGTCGATTGGGCGGATGTTGTACAGCTTGCCGCAGTCGCCAGCGGTGACGGTCTCCAACAGCGACGCCCGGTACCAGAGCTGGAAGTCGATGGTCTTTGTGATGGTGCGGAAGACACCGTTGAAGACGATGCGCTGCGTGAGCGTGAACTGCGGGAGCAGGTGCGGGCGTGAGGTGGCATTTGCGAGCCCGGATCCGTCAGGTCAAGCGTCTATTTGTGTGCCTCGCAAATCGGCGCAGACCACGGGGGTCCGGTCTCAAGAGGGTCCCCGCGGGCTTGGCGTAGCGAGAAGACATCCTCCTTCCACTGCAGGACGACAAACGAGTCCCGGGGAATCAGGTCCCAAGTAGTCTCAACGCGCGGCCAGTTCAGCTCCAGCGCTTTCCTCCAGATGTCCTTGGTCACCACTTTGAGGAAGAGGGGGTGCGTGAGAAGCAGAGCGCGCAGAGCGTGGCACGCGTCGGCAAAGCTCTCGAGCTTCGCTTCAGTGCCAACGTGTTGGAGAGGAGCGATCACATAAACGACCATCTCCTCGAGCACGCAGAGCGGGAGGTCGAGCAAGTTTGTGCAAGAAGAATAGTGTCGCTCAACACGCGCAGTTGTCCAGCGAAGCGAGCGAAGGCCGAAGCATGCCATCTTGAAGGGGCCGACCATGCTGGTGAAGAAGGGCAGTCCTCGGACAGAGCGAACGGGATCACTGACAGCGTTGATTAGTTGTGCTTTTACGGAAAGCAGATATGAGCACGTTCTTTTATTTTATATGAAAGCTGAGCAATAAACTTTCGCACGCTCAGCACCTGGACGAGGTCACATGGACCACCAAGAACTGGCACGGGCTGCAGATGCAGCGCTTGTCTGTCGTCCTCCACACCGCCGTGGCGTGGCAGACGGTGAACGAGCTAGCGTGCGGGGAGAGCGGCATTGTGCATGGTGCGGAGTGCATTGCCGTTCTTAACGGAGTCGCTTAGGCGGCTCCGGTGGTGAGCCTGTGTGTGTGCCAGTCCGCGCCAGTCTGCGCCCTTGTCGTGCCAGTGTGCTGTGAGAGAGGCTTGTATCTTAAGAATTCTTTTCGAAAAAATCTTTTGGCACGATCCAGGTATTTTTCTTTTCCTCGCGATGTCTGCCCCGCCGCGCCGCCGCTCGCGCCGCCTCGCCTCCTCCTCCACCGCCGCCCCCTCGCCAGACACGCCGCCGCCCACCCGCCTCCTCGACCTCCCCACGGAGCTCCTCGTGCGCGCCATCTCCCGCTGCAACCCTCCCGACATCGCTCGCGTCGCGGCCGTCTCGCTGCTCTTCCACGCCTCGCTTGCGCTTGAGGGCATCCGCTTGTGGGCGCAAGAGCGCGGCTTCGAGCTGCCGGCGCAGCCAGAGGGCGAGGGCTGCGCCGTGCGGTGGCTGTGCTATTCGGCGCTGCTGTGCGAGTCCAACCCGCCGGCGAGGGCGGCCGCAGGCTGTTGGCACAGCCTCTTTATTGTCGGCGAGGGGCGGCTCTCGTCGTGCGGCTCTGCGCCGGATCACGCCGCAGGCCTCCTTGGCCACGGCGAGGGCGTGGCGCGGCTCAACACGCCGACCCGCCTCCCCTCCACGCTGGGCGGTGAGCGCGTCGTGAGCGTGTCGGCTGGAGGATTCCAGTGTCTCGCCCTCACCAGCAGCGGCGCCGTTTGGAGCTGGGGCCAGGGAGGCTCCGGCGCGCTGGGCCACGGCGACCATGAGGTTCAGTGGCAGCCGACGAAGATCGAGGCCTTGGCGGGCCAGCGCGTCGTCGCTGTCTCTTCTGGACGCGAGCACAGCCTCGCCCTCACCGGTGACGGAGACGTCTGGAGCTGGGGCCATGGAGGGCGAGGCCGGTTGGGCCACGGCAACCAGCACATCCAGCTGCTGCCGAAGGAGATCGAGACCTTCGCAGGGCAGCGGGCCATCGCACTCTCGGCTGGAACGCGCCACAGCCTCGCCCTCACCGCCGACGGCGCCGTCTGGAGCTGGGGCCTTGGCGAAGACAGCCAGCTGGGCCACGGCGACACGCAGCTACATCTGCTGCCAAAGAAGATCGCGACCTTGGCTGACCAGCGTGTCGTCGCTGTGTCGGCTGGAGAGGTGCACAACCTCGCCCTCACCACCGACGGCAGCGTTTGGAGCTGGGGCGATGGAGCCTTTGGCAGGCTTGGCCACGGCGACACGCAGGACCAGCCGCTGCCCAAGAAGGTCGAGGCTTTTGCTGACCAGCGCGTCGTCGCTGTGTCGGCGGGATACTTCCACAGCCTCGCCATCACCGCCGACGGAGCCGTCTGGAGCTGGGGCAATGGAGGCTGGGGCCAGCTGGGCCACGGCGACGAGCAGCAGAACCAGCTGCTGCCGAAGAAGATCGAGGCCTTTGCTACCCAGCGCGTCATCGCCGTGTCGGCTGGAGGCTGCCACAGCCTCGCGCTCACCGCCGACGGCGCCTTCTTCTCGTGGGGCCAGGGCCGCCACGGCTGCCCAGGCCACGGAGAGGACCTGTCGAACCAGCTGCTGCCCAAGAAGGTCGAGGCGTGGGCGCCGGGGCAGTGAGCAGGGAGGCGAGGAGCGCAGGAGCCGAGGTTACTGCGAAGGCTGGCGACTGGAGCAAGTTGGAGGAACCGGAGGTGCGAAAGCAAGCGGACGCATACCGGCTCTACCTGGTCGAGTACCCGAAAGTGCTTGCAGGGCGGGAAAGCCTCAGCACGCCTCATCCACCATTGACAAGTATGCCTGGCAAGGGAATTGCCCCAAACCTTGTCTTTGTTCTGTGCGCTGTCTCATTTGTGGCGGCACCTAGGCTCTGAGTGTAGTGTGGAGTGGGGGTAGGGGAGGTGAGGTCATGTGTGGTTAATGACAGACCGGAATGGTCGGGATGACCGGGCGGGATGGCCGGGATGTCCGTTCTACTTCTGATTTTTCTTTCTTCGCTTTATTCATAAGGAGTGATTAGCCCAAGAGTATTCATAAGGAGTGCGGTTTGGAATATATACTCGTACTAGCGCGCTCTCGCTCGAATGCACGATCTTACGTACAGAGACGCGAGGGTTGCCCCCCCTTGCCCCACCACCTCGTGTGTGTGGAGAAGTTTACCTTACCTTACCTTACCTTACAGAGTGCGCCGAGTACCGGACGGATTTGCACGGTCGCGACGTGGGTGCACAAAATAAATAAATAAATAAAAACGGACACCTCTCTACTGTGAGATGGGTAAAAAGGAACAGGTCCCCGCCCTTGCGATCTTTGTGCAGGAGCGGCCGCACACTGCTCGGTACCCCCCCTGCACACCTAAGCCCATGGCCGACCCCCCCCCCAGCAGGAGCGCTCTGCTGCTGGGGGGGGCGGGACCGCTCTGCTGCTGGGGGGTGCTGGCATCTCTGTACAGACAGCAGCTGTAAGTAGCATGCGTTCGAGTTGCGAGAATTTATGGTCGGCATCAAAATCAGTGGTCTCCCCGGCGGGGCCTCCTACTGCCAACCGGGCTGTGCGGGGCAGTCCAGGGCGAGCCGCATGGCTTGCACCACGTCGCTGCCCGCCATTGCGGCGACGCGTCGCGGCGGACCTGACAGTTTTGCCGGGCGACGGGCGCGCGCGCGTTTTCGAAAAAAGAAAAGGCAGCCCTGGGCTATTCGACGGCGCAGTGGAGAATACGTGGCTGGGTGGTCCGTGTCTCTGGAAGGCACGTATACGACCGAATCTCCGGACCAACTCATCGGCTGGACATTGGCTTCGGCGCAGATAGCTATGCAATGGCGGCGTCACCGCACGGTATTATAGGTCAAGCATTTGCGTCCGCGTCGCCGCGCGTTGGTCGGGTCGACGAATATCCCATTTCAGGCCGCTTTCGGACGGAGGCGATGGCTGAGGGTGCCATTGAAGGGGTTGCTGCGCAGTACGAAGTGGAGTCAGCATTTGCGACTCGCTTTGGGTTTTCTCGCTTTGAAGCCCTGAAGCCTCTTGGCCCGCCTCACCGCGCCTCCGGCATCCCTCTCGATACAGCTTCAGCTGACCACGCCCCACGGCGCCTGGCAGAAGAGGCGGCTCGATGCGCCCCACCCTCCCTCCCCCCACCACCGTTGCCCTCGCTGCCTACGCCGGCAAATCCAATACTGCCACCGTCAGTCACTGCTCCGCCATCGGCGACTCCGCCACCGTCTTTGCCGCCGCCGCAGTCACCACTCCCATCCTCTCCACCGCCAACAGCGCCACCGTCGTTGCCGCCACCAACGGCTCCGCCACCGTCCTCACCACCGCTGGTGATCATCCTGTCGCCCGGGCAACACACGCTCGCTGTGAGCTCGGGCTGGGAGCTAGCCACGATTGTCAAGATTTCGAGCGGTGGTGATAGCGCGCGGAGGGTTCAGGAAGACGCCACCGTCGAAAGCGACAAGCTCGATCTTGGGCGGTTTGTGCCATGCGCTCGCAGCTACGAGGGAAACGAGTGGGAGGTGGTTGCGCCGCGAAAGGGGGGCGCCTCTACGCTCGTACAAGTCATCAACTGCACCGCAACTGCATGCAGTCTCTCCATACCGGACGACTCGTACACGTACCTCCTCCGCACCGGGCAGGTCGCTGACCTGTCGGCACGGTATCGCGGGATGACATCGTCCGCATGGAACAAGCGAGGCGCGTGGCATTTTCTCGAGCAAGCAACGTTTGGGCCCACGCACTCGGCGATTGACAGCCTGAGCGCTGCGTTCGAAGATTCTGCACCGCAGCTCGCTGACTTGGTGGATGCACCCGAAGTGCCACCACCCACGCCGCCCGCGCTGCTCGAATGGGTTTTAGACCAGATGTCTATGGAGCCAACACTCCACCGCGCCTATGTTCGCCGCCGCGCAAACTCACGCCTCGAGACGGTGAGTGACGTCGGCCGCCCGCGTGGGGCGTGCGAAGCTGGTGCGCGGTGGACCCGAGTCGCCATTCGCGGGGACGACAAGCCTAAGAATATCACCTTCTCCAACGTCTCAACCGCCGGCGGGCAAAGTGTTTCGGCAGTGTACATTGGTGGTGTGCTCAGGACAGAGGTCGACCTGGCACAGCTGCGGCCATATGGAATGGACCACGCCTGCGATTGGTGTCAAAAGGGCTCCCTTGAGCTCGACAAGACCTATGTAGTGTGCCTCGTTGAAGAGCACGAGAATGGCTTGGTGCGCATCGGATCGCGTTGCAACGGGCATCTAGGCAGTGACGCGGATGACCTAGTGGAAGTATACAACCCGATGATCCGCCTCTCCTTGCTCGATTACCCGACGACTGACGAATACGGCCTGCCCATTGAGGCGCTCACCGTCCGTGGCGACAATGAGGCACCGACCACGCGTGGGGCGGCAACCACTACCTGATGGGCGGCAGCGTGAACGGTGGGAACATTCGTGGCGCCTTCCCCGAGCTCAGGGTTGACGGGCCGCAGAGCCTTTCCTCCAATGCGCCCATGCTACCAACCTCGTCGTGGGAGGCGATCTGGAAGAACCTTGCCCAGTGGGTTGGCGTCGAGGACAGCCAGCTAGAGGCCGTCATGCCCAACCTGCGGAACTTCGGTAATGACAACCTGATCCCGTACACAGACATGTTCCGTTCTTGAGTAGATTTGAGTGGAATGCAGGTGTAGCGACTGGAACTCGCATGTGTACGTACTTTTAGCTTAGGGACTTTCTAAAATTCTTTTTCACCAGGGCGTAAAAGACGCTGACCTGCCGTGAAGCTGCGGGGTCCCGCACCCCCCAGGGGCCAATATAAAAATGTGTTGTATATGGAGGTCGAGGACGGCGAGAGCTGCACTGTGTGCATGAGCCACCTTTCGCACCGTTCGGAACCACCCATGCGGCCACGCGACGCTCTGCGAGCTGTGCACCAATCGCGCGAACGATTCCGCGCACAACTAGCACGCGCCAGTTCGCACCTGTGTCGAGCCTGTGTGCTGTGAGAGAGAAAAAATCCTCAAAAAAAAAATCCTCCCGCCGTTGCAACTGCCATGTCACGGCCGGTCGGCTGCAGCTCTCGCCTCGCTGGCGGCGCGGTCTGGTGCCGCGGCGCCCAGCTCTCCTGTGGGCTCGCGGCGGCTCGCCGCCGCGGTGCCGAACAATGTGATCAGTCTGGATTCGTCCCGGCGTGCCGCCGGTGCCGCTTCCTCGCCAATTTTTGGCTCGACCAGTTTGTCGACAAAACTGTGCCAGAGCCCCTGCTGCTCGACTAAGCGGCGGAGCCGGCCCGTCGCGGCCGAGAGGCGGTGCGCCGACACCGGGGCTACGGCTCGGGACCGTTTCCAGGCTCTCTCGAGCAACCTCAAATTTGGCCGATTTTGTGGATCTCAACCCTGCTGCTCTCTGACCACAACCTCGCGGCCCGCTGCGCGACTCTTCGAGCGCGAGAGGAGTCGTCTACGAGGCGGCGGCGAGCGCAGGCGGCGGCGGCGCGGCGGCGCGGCGGCGGACCGCGGCGCAGACAACGGCAGGAATCTGCGGCAGGCTGCTGCCTGCTGCTACAGCAGCTGCTGCTGCTGCTGCTGCTCCGCCGCTGCCGATTGTGGACACGATTCCCCCGATCACCCCGCCCGCCCGCTCCGCCCCGCCCGCCCGCCTCTCCCCGCTTGCCCGCCCGCCCGCCCGCCCGCCCGCCCGCCCGCCCGCCCGCCCGCCCGCCCGACCACCCATTCCCATCACCATCTCACATACCTTCATATAGGCGCTCGAGTGCTCCTCTCGCTGCCTACTCGCTGCCTCGAGGGAGGAGGGGAAGATGTCGAGCTGAGCTTGCCTCGCTTGTACCGAGGCCCCTCCCCGAAAGGCAAGTCTTAGCCACATGAAATCCGAGACCCCTCCCCACCACCCCAATCCCCCCACCCCCTTGCTCCCCTCCCCCCCTCGGGAGGGCCGAACTGAGGCGCCCGTGGGGACCCCGCAATTCCCTTCCCCCCTCGGAGGGCCGGACTGAGGCGTCGAGGGCCCCGCTCTTTCCCTCGCATAGCGGCCACTCTTCGGATCGCTGGTCGAGCGACCCGGGGGATGCCCCGCGCGCCTGACCCAGGCGCGGAAACGAATCTGCGAGGCGTGGCCGCTCATGCGGCCCGATGGGGAGGAGGGGAAGACGTAGGGCGTGCTTGCGCGCCTTTCCGAGGCCCCTCCAACCCACCCGCGCTAGGTCTCGGGTTTGACGCATGGGGTCACACCCGCGAAACCCGTGAACTAGCCGGGGCAGTCGGAGAAGGGGCAACTCCGTGCACTGACGGTCGGCCGTCAGAAAACACGCCTCCGTGGCTCGGGTTACACCAATCCTCGCTACCCAACGCGGCCAAAGGATATCCACCTCGAGAACCTCGAGAGAGAGAGAGCCGTGTGTTGTTTAAATTCTTTCTCGAGCCTGTCTGCTGTGAGAGAGAGTTGTTTTTCTAACTTCTTTTTGAGAGTGGAAATCATGACAATGAACCTGCTCCTCTTGGCGAGCGGCTTCACCCTCCCGTCCTTGCGGCGTGCATTTCCAGCTGTCAGGCCCTCGGATAGCTCGCTCGCTAGGCTTCCATCTCATCGCGTCTGCATGGCGGTCGACAAGACCAAGGAGGGCGAGTACCCGCACCCGCACGACGACGACTACAAGTTCGGTGACATCACGCTGCGAGTGATCCGCGACATGACTGGAAACGCCGACTACCGGTTCGGCGACGGGTCCAAGGCGATCGCGTCCGCCACCACAGACGCCGCAGAGGCCGCAGCCGCAGCGGTCCTCGACGCAGGCGGCACCGCCGTCGAGGCTGGAGCGGCGGCCAAGAAGGTGCTGGACGATTCAGGGTACCAGGCGCGCGCGCTGCAGTCCTTCTCCGCTGCCCTCTCTCGCATCGCAACCACTCCAAAACTCCCGCCGCCTCAGTTTGGCGACCTGACCAAGGGCGCCATCAAGGGGTTTGAGGGCCAGGTGCGGTCCGCGACGGGCAACGAGGAATACAAATTCGGGAGCCGCCAAACTTCACTTGTTACCGCTCGCCCGTGACATGGTCCCGTAAGCGGTCGTCGCGTGTTATAGGGACATCTCCAAGACCTTGGCAAAGGGCCTGTTCGGCGCGCTCGAGAAGGGTGCGGCCGCGGCGAAGAAAAAGATCGACGACTCTCCCTGAGGGTAGAGGGAGCCGCAGCGCTGCCATCGGTCTACCCGTTCTCTGCGCGATCGTGTGTTTACTCTCCGGAGAGATGCTGTTTATTGTACTGGGCGCGCGGCGCACACGCGGCGCGCAGGTGCTCTCGTCGCGCGTCGTCATACACCCCCCTGCCACGAGAGCTCCCACCTCGATTTTGGAATCTATGTATCTCTAGACTCTACTCACAACTCTCAGAAAATAATGGACAGTACAAAATTTCTTGAAGACAGAGTCATGTAAGTCGAAAGCACTTCTTCCAGACCGCATCGAAGGCGAGCGGAGAGTCGGTAGTCTGGTCGACGTTGGCGGCGTCGATCCTCAAAGAGATGTTCACCGTCGCCTTGTGGACGGTGCACCACTGCACGAGTTGGTCGACGCTGACCGCGTTCGTCGTCGCGCGGTCCTGGAGGGTCATCGCGCCCGTCGCCGAGGGTCGTTTCGCAAAAGCGGGCAGCGGCACCTCGCTGCCGGTGACCTCCGTGCCCGGTGCGGGAGCCGCCTCGTCGTCTCGCCTACCGCGGACCAACCCAAGTCACGATTTGTCATGGGACGGTGCGAGCGAGGCCGGTAAATCCACACCGCGGGTTCCAGATGACAAATATGTCGCCCAGCTTGAGCGGCAAGGTGTACTCATTGGGCAGGCTGTGGAGGCGCAGCATGGCCACGGCAGCCTATGGTATCCTTTCGCACGTCGACTTCAGTGTACGAGGCTGACCTTCGCCGAGCAAGCGTGTGGGCACCCGGCGCAACACTGATCGTGAACCGCGCTGGCTTCTCGAGCCTGGCCCCGCTTCTCCCCTCATTGCCTGTGTTTCGGGGCCATCTCTCAAACGCGACCTTTGGCACGGGTGGGGTGAGCGCGACGTTGCTAAACAGCTCGAGGCTCAGGATGCACATCTACGAAGGGGGTAAAGACTTCATTCTCGAGCCGGCTGCCAACTTTGACATCGCTTCTGCCGGTCCAGGCGTGAGTGAAGACCACACCATCCTCTTCCCTGCGGAAGCAGCAGCTCCGCTATTTGGTGGGCGTCAGTCAATGCTGCCGAGCGTCGCGCGCGGCTTCGAGCCGCGCACCCGTAGGGATGTGACTGACCGGCAGCTGAGCGCACTCGGCACCCTGCCCGACGGCCCGCCCTACGGCCGGCTCTCCTCGTGCCCGACCGACGACTCGTTCACGAGCGGCATCGGCATTGTGGTCGACCATGGCTTTGCTGCTCGAGTCGGTGGCACAGAAGCGTCGGTGCTCGCAGAAGTCGCGTCGCTCCTGAGCAGCGTCAATATGGTATATCTTGATCAGATCGGGATCGAGCTTCGCCTCGGCGCCGTCATCATCAACCTCGACGCGAGCGGCGATCCAGACATCACTGGCCCCAATCACGCGCCGGCGATCCCAGGCCAGCGTGACAGCTGCGGTGCTGAGATCAGCGACTCCTACACTAACGAGACGGGGCACGCGGCGGCTACGCTGCAGCTAACCTCCATCGCGGTGAGGAAGGGCACCACCAAGCTGCTCGGTCGTCTAGCCAACTGGGCGGGGCGCGCAGCGCCTCCGTGCCCCGGCTGCTCCTCGTGGCATCTCCTCACTGATTGCTTCCCCGCACCGGGAACGGTCGGCATTGCCTTGCCGGATTCGGCGTGCCTGCCTCTTCGCAGTCGACGAGGCGTAGCGTACGACTTGGACGTGGCGTGTGACGGCGAATGCGACTTCCGCCTCCCGAATGGGAACGCCGCACGAATCGGCTACCGCGTTGAGGAGGAGTGCCCTGCTGGAGAGTTCTTGTGCCAGGCACCCGTCGGGCTAACCTCCTGGACGGGAGCCAGGACGTGGCGGACGCTCGCACACGAGCTCGGGCACACATTTGGCGCGAGCCACACCTTTGGACTGGGCGGGATCATGGACTACCAAGGCGGCGGAGAGCAGTTTTACGACAACGGCGATATTTGCAGCTACGTCGACAGCATCCTCGCCGGCAGCTCACAGACATGTCTTGTGTCGCAGAAGGCGGTTTGTGGCGATGCTTTGTTCAGTATCGGAAGCACGGAGCAGTGCGACGATGGGAATGGGGTCGATGGAGACGGCTGCGACGCCAACTGCCAAGTCGAGTGCGGATACGAGTGCACCGAGGACGGAGGCCGTTCGAGCTGCTCGCCTCTTTGCGGAAACGGCGTCGTCGACTTGGCTCACAACGAGGAGTGCGACGACGAGTCCGCGTGCTGCAGCGAGTGTAGGCTTGTTACTGGGGCTGAATGCTCGGACGGTGAATGCTGCAGCTCGTCTTGCCATCTCGAGCCGTCCAGCAAGGCGTGCGGTGATGGGCTCGGCTCCTGCGGCGCCGAGGGCCGGTGCGACACCTCAGAGGCGTTGCTCTGCTCTGAGGTCCAGTTCGGTGGGTCCGCGATGGACGGGCCGTGCGAGAGAGCAGCCGATGCGTCCTGCCACACTCACTGTGCGACGGCTCAGGGCACATGCCTCGACTTGACCACGGTGCTTGGCTACTGGCAACGCAGTCGTGCATACCTCGCAGCGGGCACCCCGTGCGTTGCCGCATCTGGAGACCCAGGCAAGTGCAACCGGATTGGCGAATGCGAGGCAGCAACCCGATGCGGCGACGGTATCCTAGAGGGTCGCGAGGAGTGTGACGACTCTTCGGCGTGCTGCGATCAGAGCACGTGCCGGCTTGTTGCTGGCGCTGCTTGCTCTGGTGGAGAGTGCTGTAGCAGTGAGTGCACCTTCTACACCGCGTCCACTGCGTGTGACGGCAACGCAGGCTACTGCCATCGTGGGGTATGCGAGATCAGTCAGCCTCTGTGCTCGTTCACGCTCGACGGATCCCGCGTGGAGATCGACACGGAGGCCTGTCCGATTGGGTCCGGCTTTCCAGGGGACCCTAATGCTGCGTGCGCAATGTCGTGCAGGCGAGTCACAGCTTCGCGCGCTGGCGACGCACCTGGGTCCTGTGCGAGTGGCGACACCTACGGCTCTCGCTTCTTCTTGCCTGAAGGCACGCCGTGCAATGCGCAGACGAGCACTTCTGCTCTCGCACCCGTCGTGCCAGGTGTCTGTCTCACTGATGCCGATGGCTCCAAGCGCTCGTGCCAGCAAACTCCGTGCGCCGTCGACCCGACTGTGCTATGGCCGCCCGTTCCACCTCCATCGCCGCCGCCGTCGCCGCCACCGCCGCCACCGCCGCCACCGCCGCCACCATTGTCGCCACAAGCGCAAGACTGCAACGGTCGGGGGAACGGCGGCGTCGGAGTTGGCGCGTGCTCGGCCGTAGTTACGTCTGGGCAGTGCTGTCGAATTGTTGCTGAGGGTTGGTGCCATCAGGCGTGCTGCGCGGCAGGGGAAAACTGTCCATCGCCGACCCCGCCCCCGCCAGCACCACCGAGCCCACCAGCTTCTCACTACGTTCTTTGCGGGAGAGCCAACGGTTGTTCGGCAGAGGCTCCCAGGCTTGCGAATCCGGATGAGCGGTATCGGGTGCGCTGCTGCTCCGATACGCCCAAGAGCGGGTGGCGTCGGAGAGATATGTGCTCGGTTTGGGCAGAGTCCAGGTTTCCCACCATGGACGGCTGCCAGCACGGGAAAACGCTCGCCCAGGCCGAGGCTATCTGCGCGGCTGTCGACGCGCGGCTTTGCTCCGTCGATGAGCTCGCCACCGACTGCGCCAAGGGAACAGGATGCGGGCACGACTTCGGTCTCGTCTGGGCGGTAGACGTGCCACCGTCACCACCATCGCTGCCGCCGCCGGCCTTGCCACGACTGCCGTTGGCCGTGCTCGCCGTTGCCGGGTGTGGCGAGGCAATGTGCGTGCTAGCGGAGGCGCAAGGTAGCGTACGTTGCTGCAGCGACGACGATGGGAGGGGAGTCTCGGCGTGCCCTGTCGACCAGCCATATGGTGGCAATTCGCGAGCCGTTCGCGTCTCGGGGCTACCTGGCGTTACAGGCGTCAACGATGCAACACTGCATGAAGCAGCACTGGCATGCGAGGCCCACGGGTACCGCCTGTGCGGCGTCGACGAGCTCAAGTCGAAGAGCCACGCGTGCAGCACCGGCTGCAACTACAACGACCCAGCATACCTGATGTGGAGCGAGGAGGCTTGCGCGCCAGCAGAGCTACTGCTTGAAGACACGAAGGTCGCGGCCGACAGTGGCGCGCGCCTGTTCAAGAGGCCGGCGGCTAGCCTCGAGGAGTGCGCGACCTCGTGCTACAACAGGTCCGAATGTGGCTTCTTTGCCTACAAGCCGGATGGGAGGAACAACTGCATGGGCGGCCGTAGCGCGTCTGGGCACGCTCACCACCCCGGCTTCAACTTTTATAGACTACTTGCATAGCGCATGATTTTACGCAGTGTCGTACATTATTTCTTCGGTTCTGGGTACGGTACTAATAATGAACCCGAATCGCGCCGCTCCGGCCTCCGCCTCGGAAGGGGCTCCGGCCGGCCGGGGCCCACCTCGGACTCGCGAGAGAGCGGAACGGCACATCGTCGCGATGCGACACCGCATGCTCACGCCCCGCACGCCTTCTTCCGCCCCTTCCCTTTGACCGGCAGCAAGATGCGCAGCAGCTGCGGCGGCGCCAGGTGCTCTTCGTCTCCGTCGTCGTACTGGACGAGGAAACCGTCCCGGGAGGAGTGCGACGCTACGGCGCCCTCGAAGCGGCCGAGGCCGGGGAAGTGCTTCGAGACTCGCCGGCCGACGAGGTGCTGCGGCGCCGCGAGCGCCAGCTTGACGAGTGCAGCCAGCGGCACGTCCTCCTCGTCGCCGTCAGAGTAGAGCACGCGGAAGAGCGAGGCGTGGTGCGAGACGACAGTGCCTGAGACCGGAGGGCGGTCGAAGGCGGTAGCAGGCGGGAGAAGGCGGGAAGGCGGGAGAAGGCGGGAGAAGGCGGGAGAAGGCGGCCCCGAGAGGTGCCAAAAAGAGCCGCGATCTCCCTACATCTCCCGCAGCTCTCCCCATATCTCCCGCGCCCGAGAAGGTGCCGTGGCGCGGGAAGAGCTTCCGGACGGCGAGGCCGACGAGCGCGGCGGGCGGAGGCACGTTGAAGGCGTCGGAGTCGGAGTCAAGCAGGCCGCCGCACAGGATGCCGCCGCCGCCGCCGCCGCGTGCGGCGCCGTGGCGTCGCTTGGCGCCGCGGGGCGGCGCGGAGATGGCGTGCGCCTGCGGCGGAGATGTGGGGAGATGTGGGGAGATGTGGGGAGATGTGGGGAGATACGGGGAGATACGGGAGATACGGGGAGACACAGGGAGATATGGGGAGATGTGGGGAGATGGGACGGTCTGCCAAGGTACCGCCTGCATTGTGACGTCTGTCAGCCACACGTTGCACCCAAACCTAATCAATAGTTCCTCGCGATTGGCGAACACCGCTCTTCTTGTTGATGGCCACGCGGTGCCGCCAGACTTGCGGTGCGGCGCGTCGACGGGGCGGGCGCAGTGCGCGACGCGCGGGTCGGCGGCGCCTAGAAAAAAAAGAAAAAAAAACGGGGCATCGGGCAGGAGGAGCCCGCGCGGTGCGTCACGCACGAGTCGGCGGCGCCTACAAGGAGGAGAGACGCGCGATTGCGCGTGCGGAAGGCGGGCGGGGAGTGGGCGGGGCGGGCGGGGAGTAAGGCGGGGCGGGCGGGCGTGCGGCGCGCCGTCGGCGAACACGTTGCAAAAGACGAGGGCCGTGCCGCAGGCTGGTTGCACGGAGAGGTTGAGCTGTGGGGAGATACAGGGAGATATGGGGAGATGAGGGGAGATGGTTGCACGGAGAGGTTGAGCTGTGGGGAGGGGAGGGGAGATGTGGGGAGATGTGGGGAGATGGCTGGTTGCACGGAGAGGTTGAGCTGTGGGGAGATACAGGGAGATATGGGGAGATGAGGGGAGATGGTTGCACGGAGAGGTTGAGCTGTGGGGAGGGGAGGGAAGGGAAGGGAAGGAAAGGTAGAGGGCCGTGCCGCAGGCTGGTTGCACGGAGAGGTTGAGCTGTGGGGAGGGGAGGGAAGGGAAGGGAAGGGGAGGGAAGGGAGACTTGCACGGAGAGGTTGAGCTGTGGGGAGGGGAGGGAAGGGAAGGGAAGGGGAGGGAAGGAAAGGTAGACATCTCCACACACCACACAAAGGTGGGGCAAGGGCCAGGGCAGTCCCTCGCATCTCCACGCCCGGACACACGGGCAGGAGCCGGCGCGGCATTCAGAGTGCAAGGCCCGGTGCGCGTGGGGGAGCGGACCTGTGGGAAGTCGGTGCAGCCGACGCCGCGCGGGAGCGAGTTGAGGTAGACAAAGATGGTCACCAGCCGGCGAGCTCCGGGCCCGACCTCGACCTAAGGTGGGACGCCGCTCCGCATTCACAGCTAGAGGTGTGAAGAGACGCTGTTCACAGTGTGACCTCGACCTAAGGTGGGACGCCGCTCCGCATTCATCCCTGACCGCGTGATTGCCCGGCCTCGCGCCCCTCCTTGGGCGGACACCTGTTCACGGCTGGAGGTGTGAAGAGGCGCCGTTCACAGTTGTCAGGCGGTCGAGCCGGCCTCCTCCACCCGCATCCCGTCCAGCTGACTCGTGCCACCCTCCTGTACGCCGCTCTGCCGCTGCGACCGCCGCGAGCCTCTCGCGCGGCATCCCGCGCCGTCGCCACCCGCGCCGTCTCCGCCGCCGCCGCCGCCTCCGCCGCCGCCGCCTCCGCTGCCGCCGCTGCCGCTACTGCCGCCGCTACCGCCGCTGCCGCCGCTACCGCCGCTGCCGCCTC